AAATTCATTTTTTAACATGAACATATGTCCTTAAAATGAAAAGAGCATACAGACCATCATAAGGTGGAGGTTCAGAAACTGGGACGGAGTCTTGCATTCCAAATTGATCCGAAGGGTAACCAGTGTCGGTCATAGGTGTATAGGTATGTAATTGCGATAACTCTGGTTGTACGAAATTTGACGAAAGCTGTGACGGTTCTTTGCTCATAGACATGTTATCAGGTTGATAATATTGTGGTATGGTATCCATAATTATTATTCACAAATGTGAGACAAAGGCGACAGACCTTTCAAAGGGAGGGATTATTTTATCATAAACAATAGTACAAAAGATGTTTTAAAAAATAAGATATTGTGCTACAGCGAACTTTAAAACAAAACAGAAGAAATAATGAATTAGAAGTAACGATAGTGGTATTTGTCGAGAAATATACACACGATAAGATACTAAGGGGTATTTAGAATCTATTATTACCATGAACTAAAGCTGGAACACTGAACAACACTGAACGGAGAGTACCACAACAGTCCTCAACTTGCGGGGTGATTTTGGATTAATATGATTAATATGTGATAAGCAGTTAATGAATTTTTACAATAACTGATCATTTGAATCAAATGAGATATAAGTAGAATGTGTAACAACAAGCAGCTGATATGTGATACTTTATCTGATTAAGTTTTTGAATTGATAACCGATTATAAGAGCGCGAACATAAAAGTCCAAAAACCGTTAAGGTCGGAGTATCGATCGGAGTGATGATTAAATAATGATTGCAATGTATAATGTCGTTCTAAAAATAAAATCGGAAACAAGTTATTGGGGAAAGCTGCTCTTTCATATGCTCGCAACATCAAATTTGGTAAATGAGACTGCACTACAGATCCCCGCATTTCTTTTCCTTGTTAGTATTGCCAAATTTTTCTAGTCTCTTTTACAATAAGCCACCTTGATCTTTTCCATTTTCCGGTTTTATTGACCCGTTGCGTTTCTATATAACCCATTCATGGCTGAACTTGTTATCATATGTTAAAATAACTAATATGCAAGGGCCTTCAAACTAGAACCAACCCTTGTAATTTGTATTTCATTACCCGCGAAATGAGATTTTTTTTTTTTCACTTGGAATTATGTAATTTTCTCCAACTTTGAAAACAAGTTTATTTTGTGAAATGATGATTCAAATAAGGTGATTTTAATTAATATTAAATATTTTAATCGTATGCATGAAATATAATCTTATTTAATTGAATTCATACGTACATCTTGTTTAACAAACTCAAGCTT